GAAGAAGTAGAAAAGTAAGGAATAAAGTTATAAAAGTGAAGAAGAAATGAGGAAATAGGTACATAAGAAAGTGAAGAATGAAAGATAAAGAAATAACGAAGTCAAGAAGAAATAAATATAAAAATTGAAGAAGGTTGGAAATGAATATGAGGAATGTTTCCAAGAGACCAGTATAGGAGACCGGCTCGAGGAAGAATGAGCGCTCCGAGTCCGGGCTCTGCCTCGAGCGCTCCCCCCACCTTCCGCCTGCCTTCGCTCGCCGAGTTGCGCGCGCACAATTTTGGGCAACTTCCAGTACTTCTAAATATGCTTGGCCTGAATTTCTGATTTCTAAGTGTGAATATTTTACTTTATTTATTTAATTATTTATTTTAATGTTCCAAACACCAGATTTATTAATACTTCAATTTGAACGTAATTTATTATCGATATTCTACAATTTCAATTCAATTTTTATCTACTCCGTATATTGTGCGAGATTTTGATTTAGCCTCAACATTATGTTTTGAATAATTTTCGAAATTAAGTATATGTCCAATCACAAACGTGGGACTGGCTCGAGGTGCCTTCGCCCAGGTGTCGTGTAGAAACCAGAATACGAGAAGTAGAGTGCCATCCGATATAAATCCATGCGTCTCACGGAGCTCAAGAATATCACGCGTAGCATTACTACATATACATGTGTATATTCGACCAAATAAAACTTGGACCATGAAAATTGGCTAACGGGCAATATTGCTACTCATCTTTGTTGTTAGATACTATTTGAACTAACATTTTTTATTTCGCGAAGCTTGCCACATGGCGATAAAATATTGTTTTCGTCAATTCACTCGTTCGTCGGAATATCTATAAGAAATACAAGGTGTTAAGAATTCTAATTAAAATGAATTTATTATCCTTGTCAGTAGAATTCTTTATTCTGAGCGAAGTACAAAAAATGATTCGACTTACGTCTAGCAGTGTTGTGTGTGTGTGTGTGCGCGCGCGCGCGCACGCGTGTGGTTCCATCGTGACCGCGAATTTTCTGTCACGACACTAACTGTAAACTTTTAGTAATTTAATTAAGGCAACGCTTTTCATTACGTTATACTATAGTCATTTTTAATATATATATATATAACTATTTACCAACCAGAAACCTATTTAAGCCTAGCTATTATCGAGCCTTTTCCTTTCTTTTTTTCCTTTATTTTCTGTTCATCGATTCAATGCGCATTCGCAACGGCTAGAGAAGGTTTCGGATAGGTGTGAAAATAATTATCGTCGGATTCAATGTTCATAAAAATCCATAAATTTTTTCCATTCTATCCAGACTAGACTAGAAAGCGAATGAAGACTCCAAGTTGGCTACAATAATATTACAATCGTTATACACACGCTACTTGCTATTTACAGAGGTATCCGTAATAGTAAATACAAGGCATTTCTTCCTACTGTAAAAAAATAAGTTACTAACTCTAAGTGACGTTGTCAAGCTGCGAGCCAGTGCGAGTTCTTTTTGTATATTAAAAAAATCACACTAGATTAGGACTTGTCTATACAAAAGCGAAAATATACATTTGTTGGAGATACGTACTGTACCTATTACCGTTCTGCTCTTGAATATTTTTTTCTTATTGTTCTTCGGTTATGAATTTAAGAAAATTGATAACCTTGTTAAATTATTTTTGTTTTTCCGAGACGCATACGTTGATTATAACAACTTAGGTAAAAAGTTCTCGAATACATTCTCTATCAGATAAGGTCTTCTGACCTTATTACAAGTTAGAAATAAACTGCGGCATATGTAGCTCAATTTCGAAAATGCACGCGAATAGAAAACGTTGTTAAATGGTCGAGTATAGGATATCAAAATGCCAAAGGAAACTGACCGTCCAGTCACTCTAATACATATTTTAAAATTAATATACGAAGTCCCAATGAACAGTGGGTCTCATAATTATCTCATTTTTCCGAAATTAGTATATCAAAATTAAAGAGCCGTTTCTAAAGTCGGTGCACTGGGACTACGAGCGACATTCTGCGTAACCGTATGTTGAGGCGATTCTGATCTGGCCCTAAATCTCTTTTGATAATAGGCACTTTGGCCCTGATTAGTATTGACAGGCATACTGCCCAGAAATTGGGCCCTTGCCAGCTGATTGTTCATTCTTCTTGTCTCGAATGCGCTCAGAGCTGCTACGTGGCTTCTGGGAGTGTTCTGTACATTCTGCGCTGGATTAAGGATTTCTTGTTTCTTTGGGCTGCTAATAATATTTCGAACATGCGGAACCGACACTCTCTGCCCAGTAAGTACATTCTGCTTAGGTGTAGCGGCGGCATATTGATCGGATAAATTATTACTAGCATTCTGTCTCTGAAAATCGAAATCTCTGACGTTATCGGTAGCAGAATTGGAGCTTGATTGTTGTGATCTTAATTTGCTATCGGCAGTGTTATCTCCCTTAGATTGTAGAAACGTCAGTCTATTATCAGTGGTTGGGTTCTGATTATCGCAGTCTTTAGTACTCAAATGTTCTGGCAGATCGCTACAAAGATCCAACTGTCTTCTAGAATTGATTCTTGAGATCGGAGAAGGATTTTCAGGTGATGGCTTCATCGCCTTCTCTTCGGCTGCTGCATCTTCAATTATAGTCGACGAGAGAACATCTGTCCTTGGAGTTTGAAACCTCCATACTGATCTCGGACTGAGTACCTTCACTGGTGGCGTTTGCTGTACGTTCTGTTGAGGTTGCTGATGATGGTGATGATGGTGATGATGATGATGTTGTTGCTGTAGGCCCTGCTGACGGGATAATTTAAGCTGCTCAGCAGCTGACAATCTCGTTGGTCCAGTCTTGACACTTTGCTGCAGAAGGAGTCGTTTGAAGTCCAATCGAGATGTCGCTGATGGTTTCTGAACAGTTTGCGGTACCTGAAAGAACATCAAGGAGTTCTTAAAGTAACCAAATAAGAAATCATCAAACCGACTTCACTAGTGAGTCAAATGATAGCGGACTTACCTCAGGTACTTTTTGTGATTCAGGACTCCAACTATGTCTGGTGCCCACTTGCGTCTGCACCAATGAGTTCATAGATCCACAGGGCGACAGACTCTCCCCATCATCCCTTATATTCAGCCTCCTCTTCGATTTGTGAATAGCTGCGAATAGTTCCTCGTTCGACATAGTACTCTTCGTAGGTGAGAGTACTAAATTCGTCGGTGTACTTCTACCGGAAGTGTTCTGAACTGGTGTACTTCTACCTGAGTTACTAAGAACAGGTGCAGGTCCAACAGCCTTCCCAGTAGTTAACGCCAGACGTTCTGCTACGGTAGGAGTCGACCGACCAGTCGGAGTGGATGATTTGAACCCATTGTTGTGCCCAGGTCCAATAGGAGAAATAGGACTGTGCCTGAGATTCTCTGTGGTTTGGTGTGAATTCCTCCCGAGATCATGGACCGGCGAAGAAGCAAAGAATCGATAACCAAACGCTGTCAGACCTAAGGGTGCGGCAAACCTAAATCACAAAGGATATCGCACGTGAGTCATCCTTAGAAGAGAAGTTACTTTTAAAAATTAATAAAATACCTGTTTCTGACGTCCACGGGCGCCTGATTCTGATTCTGAATTGATCTGCTTCTAGCTTCAAGTTGTTCCAAGTTTCTTCTGCTGGCATTGAGCTGCGATTCTTCATCAAAGTGACCACGTTGACTTACTTCCTGCAGAGGTTTTTGACCTTGCCTAGCAAGCATATGCATCGCACTTAAGGATCCTCTGGCTAGACCTCTCGTTATGTCAGGGGTCACGCTTCGCGGTGGTTCAACATCTCTCTGAGGTCTGCGCGATGGCAAAGTGTAAAACTGTTGCTTCGAGGAGTCACAAGGTTGATAAGAGTACTGCTGATTCCTCGCATTCTGGATTTGCGTCGACTGACGGCCATAGATCTGCTGATTTTTATGACATTGCGATACATTCTGTCGTTCAAACAATTCCTGACTTTTTTCGTAGCATTGACGATGTTGCGAATTATCCGTATAAATATCTTGAACGTAGGGATGCTGCGCATAGCCAGGGGAATTCTCACAGACGTTATAACGGGGTTGGCTGGATGTGTAGATCTGTTGAGATCGTTGATGATCCTTGATGTACGCCTCGTACTGGTGTGTCTTTTGGGGATTGTTGGGTTGGGGTGGTCCTACATAAGGCGGTGGCTGCTGAGTTACCACTTGTGACGAAGATACAGACTCCACTGGAATGGCTAGCAACGCGCTGTCTGTAACAGAAATGAAACCTCATATTTATACAATCCATTATTTCAAAAAAGAAATCCACCATTACGAGGAAGAACCTCTTTGAAACGTATGTGCAGCAGAGTGCAGGGAGATTAGTACACGTTAAAATCGTGGTCCATGTTTTATAATCTCCACGGTAAAAAATAGTCCAGATCGCCAGAGCAACGATTCTCACGGTTAGATCAAAGCGGTAACGGATCCCTCCGTTTGGAAATGATGCTGCACTGGAGAGTAAGCGAAATCAAAGAAAAGTTGTTATCAAGGTACGAGTTATTAATTACTTACTGCCAGTCGCTACAAGGAAGGCATCATTGTTATCGGAGCAAAGCGAAACACATAATATGAGATAGATAAGAAAAGATGATGCAAGCATGCTAAGTAAGCGGTAAATATATGGACACGTAGTAACGGCTCGAAATGGCGAGTCGGACGTCAGGATTATTAATGATAATGAACACGTGATCCCATTAATTAGCTGCATTTTATAATGTCTTCAAAATCTCCGCAAGGCTCCGTGCCACTTGCACGTGCTTGCAAGTGCCCGAAATCCCAGACGTCGGATTCGCGAATTCGCGTCAAGTGAAAAATGTACTCACCGGGCATGGAGCATGGAACTATGATAGGTGGGTTACTATGGGGATGCCACACGCGTGAGGTGCATGTCTCTAGAACTTTACGTACATAACACAAAAACAACATGGGTGCAATGAGAGTGGAAAGAGCGATTAGGTAGCACGTGATAGCCACATAATGAGTATTTACAATCGAGGGCGCATCGTGCGACCGAGGAAGCATGTATAACAATGTGATAAAAGAAGGGAAACGATAAAATATACACAATATTAAAAACAGGTACTTGTGGATACATGCGCGTGTGCATATACTGCGGATGGCGTGAGGGTGAAACGAAATGACAAAATGCAGATGCAGTTTCCATAAAAAATCGTGTCTATTCACATACAGTGATAATAATGGCGAACAATAATAAAGATATAGTATGTACAGTCGAAGGGAGGATCAATTTTAGGAAACATATACATATTCATATATACACATATAATGATATCTAGACTAATTTAATGGACGAAACGACTTATATAAAAAAAAAAAAAAAAAAAAGAATAAAAATGAAAAAAAGTGACAAACATATACATACTATACAAATATCCTGACTGCATGCCCTCCACGTTGCAAGTACACGTCCGTGGTTATCAGTTGGAAGTTATTATTAATTATTATTACAGCAAATAGAGAAAAACAGATAATGCAATATTATCTAGATCGTTGGCGCAAATCAATATTGATACGATACAGTCTATATGTCTGAGGTGTCTGATATATATACACATTGTTACCAACCCGAGAGTTAGTCGGTGTTTTGTTAGTCAACGCCAGACGCTACTTACAACGTTAGATGAGCACGCGTCTAGTTAACATGCGAGAATTAAAAATTTCTAAGGCACGCGGATGACGCAAACAGCAAGTAGCTAAACAAAAGTAGACAACACATTATAAATGATACAACAATGTCAATATTCACATGGGAATTCAATACGTCAACCTTATAGGCACCTATGTAAGGCACACGTGTAAGAATAATCGAGTATAATAAGTAGAGCAATAAATTTTGAGTTTGAAAAATGAATTGGATCTTCTTATTCTGAGTAGTTCTTTACGCAACTAATAAATCCCTGTGAATCAATCGCAATTTAAATGATCGGTTTGAAACGAGGGTGGATCCCGTCATTGAATATTATGATTTTAATATTGAATATATATACTTTTTCTATTTGCAATATCCTTGGCATTCTATTAGTTTCCTCGTTCGAGCTGGTGCAATTGTTATCAGCGACCGAGGAAGCAAATAATAAAGAAGCGCCGATTACACAATTTCCCGCAATGATGTCTCTCGTTCTGAGAAAAGAACGTCTGACCGATCCACCCCCTTCCATTGGCTGTCTTTCTCTCCCTGTATTAATATCTTAAGGACAATAGGCATGTTAATTTGAGAAAAATAATTAACTCGTAGAAAAAATTCAACGAAATATTTAAAAAAGACGTCCTAGTATCTTTTTACTTAAATTTGTATTCGTTGCTTTCGAGTAGGCCAAGGGTGCTGGTGCACGAAACACACGATTATTAAGACCGGAATAAATTTGATAAATAGCTTTTTTCGAGATTGATACGATCCGAAGGAGCATTCAGATTTAAATAAATAATTTAATAGAAAATTTTCAGATGATAAGGCGTCACTGTAAATACGTTGCTCGCACGTTTAACGACGCGTTGTGAAAAGCGCGAATCCGATAGGCAGAGACCACGTGGACGGGAGACACGTGTAATTTCCTCGAGATAAGAGAATATTGCGTCAATAGCCACGATGCAACGAGAACGCATCGCTGCACATTGCTGCAACTGCATTCCACTAAGGGGAGCAACGATCTTTCACCAAGGTGCATCCAGAAATCCAGCTGCACTTTGTAAACATATTCAATATCGTCATATTATTTCTGTACATTTATATAAAGTCCATTTTTTTTCCGTTTTATTATCATTATCTTATCATATATGCACACACAGTGACATGAATGCATTTAAAAGTCACGTAACTCGAATGACTTTTGGCTCAGGGAATGTACATTTTTTCAAAAGACTATCCAACATTCGTTTTCTCTATACTCTACTGCAATCCAGGACAATGGCACTTGCGGGGAAACATGAGAGAAAGTGAAAATGGTACCTAAGTAGCCTGACCTAAATGATACTGAATAATTTCAAGTAATTTCCCTAAAGGACAGTTCGACTTGGGCATGTGAATTGACCCAGGAGCAACTTCAACAATCTGCCCAATTGTTGCGCCTGATCTCTGAGCAAGAACTTTTATCATTTGCATCTTCCAGCTCGTATAGTTCTACCTTGGTGGATTTACTTGTAGACTGGATTACGAAGGTTGCACGGGAAGACTGTGTATTTCAGTAAACCGTCTGGGAGGGCAAAGGTTAACACTGATACTGCGAGATGAGACGAACCTGGGTTAATGCATATGTTAGTAACAATGATCGTGACCCGATCGGCATGGCTGATCTCTATTGACGCTTCTGTCACTTTGATCTTTCTCCCGCTGATATTTCTTTTACAAGCTCTTTGCACTCTTTCTATTACTTATTGACAGTACACGATATTCATTTATTTATAGACTTGCCCATTCGATAAGAATATCTGTCAGAATTCTCTTGACCTAATTTAGAGAAAATTATCTAAGTGCAACTTGCCACAGTGTCTTTCAACAAAACAAGAAAAATCTGACGATCGTGCGATCCTCTTTTTACTTAAAATCGTTAATTACGTCCGTTCAGTCACGTTCAACGGTGTGAGCTGCGCGAGAGTCAAGGATCGAGTGGGTCGTACAGTTTTAGCTTCGTGATAAATTGATAATGTATTAGCAGTGATAAGAACATTTCTAGAGGATTCTTTCCAAGAGAATCGCTAATGGCTCAGTGATAAGGAAATCCAACTGTGATTATAAATTCGATTTCTGAACATTCGAATGAATCACGTGTGATATCCTTATGCTATTTACATAATCGTCATTATACGCGAAATTGTCATCATTTTCTTTAGATGTGATCAAGTGATACTTTGTTGCAAGTAAAAGTTCTCGAAAAATAAGATTAGAAAAATGTACGTGACTACAAAGTTACGTTAATTAAAGTGACAACGTAATATCGCTTTGACATGAGTTTATTTTGACAGGCGCGCGGGTAATGTACATCGGGAGTTAAATATAATAAATTTTTTTGATATCAGACTCTACGAGGTCATCGGAATTCGCGTAATGCCTACAGATGCAGATACGAGACGATTGAGCAAATCATAAAGGCAGACGAGGTCGTAATCAGTCATGGTTACTGGAGGGAATAGAGCTTTTAGATAACAATAGTACGGCAGGAAGAAGAAGAAAAGGAAGAAGGGAAAAATGAAAAATTGCATAAATTCAGTGGGTCAAGTCTTTGAAAACAATTACAAGATATGTCTAATCGGTAAACACGTGACACGCGTGATTGTCATTATTTTTGAGAACCATTGTACATAAACATTTTGTATTTTTAATTGAGGGTTATCACTGGTGTTGCGATTTAATAATAAATACATCATAGGACCCCTCCCAGTCCTATGAAGGAAATATAGAAAGTTGCAAATTTCTTCATTGCAATTCTTCCTTTAAGTGTCTATCAGTGTTTGTTTTTTTATCACGAGAACTCTTAATTCACGTGACTGTCAGGAAATTGTTAAATGTGTCGATCTTTCGTTATCGGACGTCATTGACGTTACATGTCAGGGAACAACACGTGCGGCATCTAAAAATAGTTGCGTTTTAGCAAAACATTGAAAAATGAGGTTTCACGAATCAGATTCTTTCAGCTGACTAATCGTAGCCAGTACACTGTTTTCGGATATTTTAGTGACTTGCACTTTTATCAAAAACTTCACAATATCGAAAGAGTTCCCAGTTTCTCTAGAATAATAATTAAAATCGATTTATCGCGAGACGCAGAGTTGAGCGACGGACCATTTCCTTTGACTTTCTTTTTAATTGAACGGCTGTTTTTAAATACCGCATATACACGCATATACATTGCAGAAGAAGCCAATCGAGTTTCGTAAGGCGAGATCACTGGGTCTTCGCCACGATAACTTTGCAGCATGACCAAGCACCAAACACAAACTGTACTCAAAGTCGTGATTCTCTCATTTGGCATCGTATAGTTATTAAATTTTAATCGAAATTAATCATCGCCGTACTTAATAACGGAGACCCTCTGCATAGTGTCCTGCATAGTGGCCGAATAAATTCCGACTGTGCTTAGAAAAATTCATGGGCACTAGAAGTCAGGCTTAAATTACATAAGATTGGCTGTCACTAGCTTGCTGCGAAAAGTCACATGGCATCAGCCACCCCTTTTTGAGAATCAATTTCCTTTGTAAGTTGTGCAGATCGAATTTTGATAAGCAATATTTCCTTAGAGACGACGTCACATTTATCTTTAGTAAATAAATATGAAAAAGATTATTGGACAGGATGACGCGAGTTAATTAACGCGATAGTCGAAAAGATATGACGAAATCAATCTAGCCAAATATCATTTAGACTTACGGGGTCGTCGCGCTGCCAAGAACAGGAGATGTCGAGCTAGCATCCTGGGCTCTTGCAGAAACTCTCTTCCGGCCGACTACTGACTTAGTCGAGGAGTCTGACGATTCGACGATTCGACGATTCACTCTCGGTACTGGCGACTGTCTGTCTAGCCACGAGATTTCCTCAATCTCCAAAGATAACACCTTATCAGCGCACATGAACCACTAATTGCCCGCGTTAATGTTTTCCCAGTGCAAGGAATGCGTCGCGCGAGTCGTAAATTGAACGCGTTCAGAAAATCAGGAGAAATTTTCTTTCTCGGTCCGTAAGATTTTGACTAGAAAACTGGTATATTACGTACAGAACTTATTCGACGAATACTCCTTTTACTTTTGGTAATATTTTGAGACTCGACACGCGACCAAAAAAATAGTCAAGTATACAAACTGTGGAACGAAGCAAGGATATTATTGAAAATTTCGTTTTCCTTTTACGATTTTCGAAAATACGTGTACTCAATTCCATAACGGATAACCCTTACAACGATCAATTAGTTATGTCCTTTTTACTGATGGAGGGTTAATTAATCCCGAGCTAATTAAACGAGTAATTAGTGAATTTACCGAACGATTCGACGAGCGTCCCCTCCGAGGACGCCGGACGTTGACTGAGCAGAATGCAGACGTTGAAAACTATTTAAATCCACTCTTTGGAGAGGGAGCCCTCTCCACTCTCTCTTTCTCCAGCAGGAAAGACTTTTCTTTATCTGGTTATTGGTGCTGGATGATTTACCATCAACCGGGATAAACATCGACGTCTGATGCAACTTCGTTGGCTATTGAGTCAGTGGCCAATGGCGCCGATAAGGGTCGACAGGGTCGACAGAGTCGACACTCCACTGGGGGCTCCTTGGACTTTTCCATCTTATTCACTCCGTTCCCCTTTTTTTTCTTGCAAACGGTATTTTCCAATTGCTTTTCTTCTTGCGGATTGCTTCGAAAAACACTGAAGTTCCTGATAACACTTCACCTACTATCAGCCCCCATTAACGTGTAACCTTACTTAGAACCCTAACAATGACATCACTCAACTTTCTTATATTTGTACTTCCAGATAATAAAGGGTATTCATTCCTTTTGTACCGACTGACAGACATATTACCTCTGAAGGTACCTCTACTCTCATAATTCCGTATCTAGCTAGTTCAGATGGTAAATCAAATATCCGATTACAATGGCACTGATAAAAATATGTTTCCAGCCAAGCAAAGAATAACATTCGCGCATTACTTTAGAGAACGATTCTTATCGGCATATCCTTGTGGAGGCCATTATGTATTCGTAAGTGTTTCTTTGGTCGAGTTTATCGTGAAAATTATTGCGCTGAGAAATCTTCCATCCGCGACGTCCGATGACAAGTCCCCCCATCACGTCAATGGTAAATATAGAGAATTCCCTTTAATGCACGAAGTGCAGCTGCGGTATTGCTTATCGGCGACGTGCAACATTCAACGCGGAATCTGAACTCCATATGATAAATAGTAACGTGATTGCTTACGAAATGACTTTAATGTCTCGAAGAGAAAAAAGAATGAAAAAGATAATGCCGGACGTTTCGATCGTGCGCCATTGTCCCCCGCGGTTTGCTTGTTCAATATATCTCTGTGCACATTGAATTTCTTATCTATTTGGAACAATGACGTTCGTGGCCCCCACGAATTCCTAGTTCACGTCACCCGAGCACCGTTCGCTCTCTTGGCTCTCTTGCTTTAACGACGCGGGCTCATTGTTGACCTATCTCGATCTTTATATTCTCAAAGATACTCTCATGTTTCTCCTACCAAATTTCAGTGTCATTTCCGGAGTACTTTAGGACTCTAACCGGTTCCAAGTCCATCGCTCTTGGACGCGGGCTGGTTGCTGTTTTTCGGGGGGAAATTGGCATTGCGTGATTTACCTCGTAATCCATCCGTGAATCTAACTGTGGTGCGGGACTCGAGACTGTTTCTGGATAATTGATTCTCTCTTTGAGCAATTCCTCTTGCAATTCTTCTGAAGGGGTCCGCACGATTTTTGTCGATTTTTCGGAGTTGCTCGACAATTTCTTGATAAACATTATTGGACTGTTCGCCATGCGATAACTCTCGCTGCGCTTTATCTTACGCTCGATTCTATCCGATCTTGACGCTTCGGGTTTCTCGACCGAACAATATTCTGAATTTGAATCGGAATTTTCGGAATTGCAAAATTTTTCGGACAACTTTAATGTATTCTTGTCTGGGTGGAAATTGCATGTCAAGTAAATGTTGGGATCTTGTTTGTTGCTTAACGATTTATCTGCGAAATTATCAATACCGTCGGTCGGACTATCAATATTTTTCTTATTTTCCAAAACATCAGAACTGATCGCTTTGCGACAAAAACTCGGCGTGTCGAGATCCGAAATGAGAAGTTTGCGAGTTAATTTTGGAGTAGTTCCACTGGGTTTGAAATTTTGCGGGCAGAGACACGACTTTTCGAAATTCAATCTCGCATTGAAGATGACACCGTCGTTAGGCAAAATCTCAGAATCCTGATTGATCTTACTAATATCACCTAAGTCAGCATCTTGATCCACCGAGAGCTCCATTTCCTGATTCGTTCCACCCGGTGGATTATTTTCATCTCCAGGGGCTCTATCCTTTCTATTAGTCTTTGTGGAGATGATTCTACAATTAGCATTACGCAAATTCGAATCCTTATTCCTGATTGTAAGTGCAGGAATTCGCGACTTCGCATTTCGTGCTTCACACGTGGCCTTTCCCAAAAACAACGAATTCCCTGAAGTCAGAATAGATCTAACCCTATCGTTAGATCGTATATCGGTCGACGATCTTTCTAATCGTCCTAACGTAACGGTGCGAGTGCAATCGTGATCAGTGCTCGTGCCAGGAGACGCCTTACCTTCTTCGCCTTGCACGTTGACGTAAGCTCCGCGAACTTGCCGATGTGGACTGGTAGGACTTGTCGGGCCCACGATTGTCGTCGGAGTCCGGACGTAGTCTGGGCTGGCCGCCCTGTCGGGGCTCTTCGCCGCCCTTATGATAAGTTTACCCAACTGTGGTGACGTAGGCGGTGTCAACCTCACCGGAGCATCTACGAAATCCGCGCTTCTCGTAACTGCTCTTACTGTAGTTTGTGCACGATGAAGCAGTGGCGATGGACTTGGCGATAGTCCTTCCTTGACGAAAGGACCTGCGTGTCAGAAGATGATGAACGATTGCACAATGAGTGAGAAAGGTGAAAATGAGTCGATAAGAGTGCAGAGTGCGCGATACAAAAATTTATACTGATTGGACTCACCTGGATTAAAGGTTGTATGAGCTCCCTTTCTTCTCTTGAGACTGTCCGAGGAATAGACGACCTTACCCTCTGAGTCTAAGGTCACCCGGGCACCTTGTCTTCTTCTCTCTAGAGATGAATCTGGTTTCTTAGGCAGTTCAGTGAGACTCACGTACTCTGCGTCTTTCTTGAAGAGATCAGAGTTCGCGTAGGTCACTGGAGATCGAATTGATGCTGATGTGTTCTCTTGTCGCTTGTCGTTGTTATTCCTCACATCGGCTATGGTTACATAGTCGCCGGAGTCTGCGACAGGTACGTCCTGGACCACACTTTTTGAGTTCTTTCGTCCTGGTAGGACGCCACGAAGCTTTCCCAATACCCCACTCAGTGGATTAATTTTCGAGGTGTGAGCTGCTCCTGACGATGCTGTTGGATTCTGATTGGTTTGACTGGATGATTTTTCGTTAGATACCGTGGACGGTAAGACCGTTTGTACTGTTGCATAAAGATTCTTGTCTTGTCCGTTTATCACTTCCATCTTAGACGTCCCAACAGTCGCCGACATCAGAACCGAACCTGGACTTTGTTTATTACTCTTTAAATCCTTCCGTTTATCGTGATCCGCATCCTTGGCGTTCTCGTCATCGGAAGCTGGTGGAGTTATCACACACATGGAGGGAATACGACTTGTATTGATAGCAGTTTTTGATCGAATCCTTTCAATTCTCTCGCATCCTTCAAGGTCACTAGATTCAGAGTATTCGAATTCCGAACAAGATCTTCCGGTACAAGCTGGACTGGATGCTGACTCCACTGGAGATGAAGATGTATTATGACCACTATCTGGTGACTCGCCACCATTTTGGTTTTGACCATGAACCTGAAGAAGAGAAAGAATCCGATTGTATTTCAAGATTTATAGATGAAAATATGTAAATATGATAGGCACTCCTACCATGGCAACCACCGTTAGACTGGACTTCCTTTCTGGCGGAGGTGGCGCCATTAAGGCTGTACAGACAGTTCCTGCAGAGCTAGTGGTTGTCGACGTGGACCCTCTACCAAAGAGTTCATACTCGTTCTCCACAATCGGAGAAGTCGGGTCCGAACCAAGATCATTCGACTTGGTGAGTGGAGTCTGTGGAACCGGTTCCTCTTCCCTGAGGGTTTTGAGTCCCGAATCCATATGAAATGAAGTATAATAACCCTCTGTGTCGCAGGAGTATACAGAGGATGTTTCTCCATCATCTGAGAATGGTACAGCAGTGATGTCCTGAATAATATCTGGGGTCAAAGTGCCCTCGGACGTCACCGAGGAGGATGCCGAAGTGTCTCTTCCTTTTAATCGTCGTACGTGACTCAAGGAAGTAGAAGAAGTACCAATTGATGCTGTAGTTGTTGATCTGAAATTAAATGATTTTAATTATCATATATCAAACTCAAGTACATATTGGAATTGTATCATAATTCATATGAAGTTATCAATTAAAAAATATCAATAAAATAAAAATAATGTGATAAAGATTTACCTCGGCTGATGCGTGGTTGTCGTAGTCTCACTACCGATACTTGCACGTCCACTCTCAGAAGATGCGCTCCAGTTTCCGGAACTAGAGTGTGGCGCATCATCTCGACTATTACCCTTCCGCCTTTCTCTTCTCTGCGCTGCGCTCGATCTTAACTTCACACTGGGTTGCCTCTCAGTGCTTGGCATGGACACAGGAATACTCGAAGTACTTTTACCACTAGAACTAGAAGAACTGGGCTTCCTCTCGTGCGACTTCTCCTTCCTACGTCTCATTGTCACAGTTTCATAGATGTTAGTCTCTTCTGCGGACCTCGATTGAACGTCCGAGGTTCTCTCCTCGCTTTGAACACTAGTTTCCGTTTCCGGTGGGATATTTTGAGCAGATTTTGGACTTATGAGTTTTAGTCTCGACCTGCCCCAGGCTTTGAGGGTATTGAAGTGTGACTTTTTTTCAATTGGCGACTGCTTTTTAGATCCCAGAATATCTGTACTCGCTGATCGGTGTGCTCTAGGAGCTGCACTTGTTGACGCCTCTTCCGGTTCCTCGACTGTGGCTTCTCTGTAAGATAAATGTATTTCGGTGAAAAACAAGTGTCTATCGTGATAGCTATGATGTAAAGATTGCGTAAGTTTACAATCGAAATTCTTAGTCGATCCCGATAATTCCCCGCGATGTTGTTCAATTTTATCCAGCGTTACGAATCTTTCGATCGTAGGAAACTAAACGCTATCCGTTTGTAATGGGGCCTATTGATGAATTTTAACCTACCCGCCGATAGCTTGACGAATTTCCTTTTGATCTGTACCAGCAATGGTGTTTCGTCTCTTTCCTCTCGGTCTTCGAGGACGCGATCTCCTTTTCACTACGGTTTCCTGAGACTCAGGACCAGATAATAAGGATCTTCTTCTCATGGACATTCTCTCGAATCCTCGACCACTCACGTCTACTGCGACAATTTCAGCTGGGAACCTATTTTATCAACAAACAAAAAAAAAAGACAAAAAAGAAACGTAAGAAGATTTCCTTTCAGGATGATCATACATACATTTTACGTAAATATAAAAAAAAGTGTTTACCTCAGAGCAACAGCCTGCACTTGCTCCTCGGGACTAGGCAACTTGTGATCCACAGCATCATCGTCGGCTGTATCTCCCATGATCCTCGACATGCAATCCGGTGGGACAGTAACATCTCCAAGAGCCTCGGCGGACGTCCATCTTCGTAGATCCTCGATAGTCGCAGGCTGAAAAGAATCCAAGACACGTTTCTTAGAGATACAAAGTTTTATAGAGTTTATCAAAAATTGACAGCCAACGATCTGCCGACCATTGTCTCTTTTGTTTTCTCCGGCACAAGTATAATTGTGTCAGTCTCGTTATTGGAGTAGAAAAATAACTGCCGTTAAGCGCTGTGCTATCACATTGCGTGGGAGTTATTGTTACTTGTTGTCATCTTGTGGCAAACTGGATTTCATAGTACAACAGTGGAGCAGATTATGTTACCAACTGGTTCCTGAGATCGAGGAGTCCTGTTTCCCCGTATACGAGCATCGAGAGATTATCGCCTACGTACCTTTCGCCTCGCCCATTTAAAATTCACAAAATGCATTCTGACTATCAGAACGTCACGATTAAATGAACTAACACGGGGGTTACGCCGCGAAATGATATTTCAACACCTACTATATGCCCTATGTTATTCTTGCCTTTCGAATGCGACTTCCTTACACGAAACAAATACAATGCTTTACTTCATGCAGTCGGTGAGATGAATATTTAATTTGGTTCAAATAAACTGCACAAATGTGAATTTAATACTCCATTAGAAGGTACATGAAGGTATCTCTACTTGGAATCATGAAGATCTGAGAGGCCGCGCTCCGCCAGGAGAAAAATATATTCAGTCTGCATCAGCGTTAAATAACGCTCGTAATCTTAAACGGTTTTTAAGAGCCGCGCACGGGTACATTTAAGGAGGAAAACGGCGATGCTCTTTCATGCTGGGTAAATAAAATGAAGTCGGCTGCGCGTTCTGCCGTAAGTTTTCGATGCTCTCCCTCCCTTTCTTTGAGGTATTTCAGTTGTGTACAGCGATCAGGAATAGTCCCTGTAGTTAAAGCCACGGCAATATAACGGCACGGCGTGACTACACGGCGCTATTGAGATTGGCGAAATAAAGCGGCGTTTTATCACCAATGTAATTTACAGCGACGACTTGCGGCGAACGAGCACCGAGCACCGAGCACCGAGCAACGAGCACTGGCTATACTACAGTATATGTACATACACGCTTGGTATCTGGGCTTGTACATTTTTCATGAAAACGTTTAAGTAATGTATCTACTTTTCCGGGACGCTAGCAGGTACGTAACTTCTTGGTGCAGGAGAACAGTCGCTGCAGGTATGAGATTGCGGCTTAATCCTTTGGACTTCATTAGCGCCGCTGCCGTTGCCGACGCCCGCCGACGCCCGCCGACGTCGCTGCAGGTAGACCCGTGAAAAAGGGAAAAGGATAAAGTAAAAGGAAAAGTAATGTTACCCAGGACCACCGCTACAGGAGTTCTTTATCCTAAGAAGGTAGGTACGTAACGCGTCGGTAACCTGCTCCCTCGTCCTTGTGGAATACGAAGGCTACGGGGTGTCCTCGATGTTTTTGACAAAACGTTCTCGAGCCTATTCCATTGCAGAGTATCATATGTGGAAATTGAAAAGTATCAAGCTACCTATGTAAAAAGTGAAGCCTTCGGTGGAGAGAAATATGAAATTGCGAAGGTGTAAATGATAATGAATGTTAAGTTTGGGACTGAGAAATCGATTGTCATTTCGTGGACACCCGGTATGGGTCCAGGTTCATAGACATACACCTTGAAAGTTCTTACGGGCCCCAGAGAAACCCCGCAACGGAGTGGGAGGAATTCCGACGTTGCCAGAGCAAAGACTGCTTTTAATTTTTCTCTTTTCATATATGGGACCCTGAAACACGTTCTGAATCACGTTTGTTTGTCAACAGGTTGAACTGTTTATAGTAGATAGGGCAGCCTGGCACGTGATCCTTGGACCAGAAATCTTAAACTCATCTCTAGTAGTTTCAAGATAAGTCTAGACAGACTTAAGATCGTGTGGAAATTTAGTGATAACATTCAAAGTAGTAGACTCGGAGAACCCTGTTACACGAATCGAATTTCAATTACCCACATGAACCTTGGATTTCCGGTAAATGACCTCAGTCATCGTCAATCACTGCCACCGATAAATCCTGGCGGGACGTTTAAACGAGTCGAATCCTTTCACTGTCCTTCGATTTCTTGACAAAAACTACCTATATATACATATATATGTATATATACGTATTGTATATGAATGTGGCAAAGTTAGATGAGAAAAAAGAAGAAACCAATAAAGAAGCAAAAAGAGATTTCAAACGTTCACTGGATACGTTTTACGTGATTCTTATTTATCTACTGTATTTTCTATGTATGCCACAGATATAATAGCTTGCTAAAGATTTTGAGTTTATCTTTGATATTTTATCTATGAAAATTTTCAGACGATCTTTGAGGACCACCGGGTAGTACCTAATTTATCTCCAGAACATCCCATGACATATTCCACTGAACCTGTTCGAACCAACACACCCGACCCAAGGAACCATAATGACGGCCCTGGCCAGGCCCAAGTCCTGTGGCTATCTAACTAGCGTCCAAACCTAACTAAATTTAATTCACGTTACATTCACAGCACGGCGCTTCCTATACGCAGGTACATTGTCAAGTTTATAGTCGCCATTGAATAACGCTCTTCTCACTGAACGCAGGGACTTCCCTGAATCAACGGTATTACAGACAAGTGGATTATGGGATTAATCTCTGGCGGTTTCCACAATGGGACCCGTGCCCCGAAATCCTATATGTCACACCCACCGAGATTCTCTTTCCGCTAGCCTTCGCATAATGAACTTATTAGTTTCCCTATAAAATAATTGTAAGACATTGTGTCTCACAGAGATACGAGATACCGACCACTCTAGATTCGATATCGAGACTCTGATCTCGTCTCTTCTTGCCCAGCACCGGCGTGCAGATGAACATGTCCATGGAAGAGACATCACGATCTCTTCTCAAGGAGTCCAAACTTCTTACGGCAACAATGGCGGCAGCTTCGTACAATTCTCGTAAAGCCTTAGGCCTCGTGTCAGATGTGAAGAGAGACGTTGATGGTTTCTTCGAGATGTGAAAGTGTTCCGTTCTGGCAGCGAAGGTGCATATGTCAGACTCGGCTGTAAGAGAAACATAAAAAAAAAACATACTTTTAGTAAGCACATAGGAGATTTCTTAGAATACGTGAAGTTTTTAAAAATATGAAATATGAAATAAGCTTCACGCGTTCGCGCACAATGATCTCAAGCAGCACCTTCTATGGCATTTATTTCGTGCATCACTGACCATTTCCTGCATTGGATCAAATTGCTCGAATTGGAGTTCATTTGGCTGGATTAAAAGTGAGTGCATCGGAAGCACTCGGAACGTCAATCGTTACGTTTGTACGTAGGGTGCAGTTGATGTACGATTTCCGGTCCTTTTTTTTTCTGAGGACAGAGGAACGTGGGTCGCAGCCAAAGTTGAAAGTTCAGATAGGGATATCGTAAGGGACAAATCGACAATTGAAGAAAAACAGAAAAGTATAATCTCTCTCGTGATAGCAAGGTGCACGCGATGTAGCAATTTCGCAGTATCTTGATGTAACGGGTGCGTCACAAAAAAAAAGACATTTCAGTTAATGAGACTTGGTGAATTTTGCGAAGGATTCGGCGTGTCTCAATGGAAGTTAGGGAAGCAGTGTTTTAATTGGTGAGCTTTTATCATTCGTCTGTACGCAATGTCAACTCAAGAGTGATATAACAATGGCGCGTGTTTTCCAAAGACTGGTTGGCTGAGCCATTATCGGTCACGCTTTGGCCTCCTTTTTCGTTTTGTTTTCTCCTGTCTTTGTTTCATTTCGAACAATGCCGATCGCTCAATTCCCAACGTTCGCACAAACGAAAGGGGTGTTCGTGCTTTGATGCGATTTCGTATTAATTCCATCCGGTCTGGTCGGAAAAGGAGAAGGTGGTTGCCGAATGGGACACGGAGAAGAGGGATGGCCCATAATATTGTAGAATAGCAAATTCATTGAGGAACGTGACTCAACGTTAAATATATTCAGGATTCACTTCACGAAGACGATCCTGCCGCTTTCTCCTCTCTCACGAACTTTGTGAATCCTCTCGTTGTCTTTATCATTCATCTCCATATGCACATTAAGCATCCCAGGCCATTACGATGATTCTTTCCTGAAGCCACGATCGACGTTACGCTAACTGTGGTAGCTTTGGATTCATCCAATGATTAATATACGATTAGAGTATTAATCTTCTCAGAAACTACTGTGCAGAATAGTTCTGAATAGGGTTCAGCATGTACTTGTCGAAGAGTCAGTAATCTGGACACACCCTGTATACTTGCAAGAACAGTGCCCGAAGCATGGGTCGGCCACAGAACCAATCTGATTTGATACAATCGTCCATAGAGTATTTCTTGCTTGCTGCTTGTAACCTCGGAAGCTGCGTGTATAACTGCAATGCACAGACCGGTGATGCACGGACGGAGATTTGCTTCCAGAGGAGAAAACGTCAGAATGCTTGAATACGTCTCATTGCTCTCTACGGGATGCAGAGAGAGGGAGAGAGAGAGAGAGAGAGGAACAATAACAACTGACACTCTCATCACCATCCACGCTTCCATGGAATTACTTTAAGCTAGCAGAATGTCTGCTACGGATGATTGCCGATTCATGGATGATACTCTGTCGCAATTCTCAGGATGCTGAATTTTTAAAACTCACTGCGCACTACCTCAGCCCGTACTCGAACACTGGATATTGCACTTTGCTTCTGACTGGGCACACATGCCAGAGACTGTAAATGCGTCATGGTTGTTAGTAGAGAGCGTTGCTCGATGGATCTTTTTACAGACGTCAGAACTGCGAATTATGAGTCAAGGACGCAGCCAGTGTTCAATGTTCACCGTGGGAATTGTTTGCGCCGTTAAAGGTTCCGTGGATCCTAGAATGAGAAAAGCTTAACGCATCAATAAGGCATCGGGTATGCATGGAGTTGTGCATTTTTCTAAACAATAATACAAACAGACAGGGTTCCACGTAGAATCGGAAGCCGTAAAGGGGTTCGTCTTCGATCAGGAAGGTTCAGTGAAGTTGGTTGGACAGGCAGTCAGGCAGCGAAGGAAGCAGGAGCTCCTAAAGATCGACCATGAGGATGCTGTGCTGGTTCGGGAAGAAGCAGTAAAGAGAAAAGGAAGATAAGAGAGCGAGAGGAGCAAAGAAGAAGAAAAGAGAAGTTGGCAGGGTGATGCCGGTCGAGCCGTGGGAGGTCCGGCATGGCCGATGAGCCTCGCTATGCAAAGTGGCCCGGAGGGCCGCTCGCGCGGATCTTCAGAAAAGCCGACAGACAGCTCACCGTGCCTCCTCGACTTGAACCAAGATATCAAGAAAACGCGTAATTCATGGTTACTCGCACACACGGTGCAAGCTTATATTATCCCCTTGCCGGTTGACTGCCTAGAGAGGAGGATTAGGTGCCCACCTCGGAGCTCGGCTGTTAAGGTGTTCGCGAACTTGCACGACCTTAAGACAACACGACGTACATGGCTGAATTACTCTTCCAGGGATGCAGATGGGATCTAACGCGACTGGCACGTATAATGCATCAGGGCGCATGTGTCCAATGGGATTTCAAAACTGAGTCCATTAGTTGCAGCAGAGAATCAGTTCACCTTTTATACGACTACGTCATTTGTGACTCGGAATTGGGTTCCTTTTGTTTTTGGCGTTTGCAAATAAGAAGAATGCAAATAAAAATAAAAGATAAAATATACGTAGAACTATTAAGGTGGTAGTTCTGGGGGAGTTGGGAGCATCAAAGGGGTGAGGAGTAGGATGAAAGTTAAGACGTGGTGCGGAGAGGCAAAGAACGTCATGGAGGAATGCGGTTACGGTAGATCGCGGACCAGTCCCTGTGCACCGGCCCGTTGGGGCCTCTGTGAGGCCCACGAAAAATGAAAAACACAAAACCAAGCAGACCCTTCGCTCAGCCTCCTATAGCCAGGAGGGACCCACCACACCGCCATTCAGCATTCACTACCGCAACCAACGTTCGGACCGATGAATTTCTTTCGTTTTATAATTCAGGTGACCTCGGTCAGGCCCATATATTCTTATAAAAACTGCGACCATTCGAACCCCTTCTGGGTCCGAAAATTATCATAATACAATTCTAACAAAAAACCAGTTCATGACATCATATTGACTCGTCCTGAAATTTCGTTGCCAGCCAATTCCTTGCTGCTCGCATGTACCATTCTTCTTTCCTAACTGCTCAGCTATGTGTCTACCGGGTCACTTCCAAATTTGGCAGCGACCTCCTTGCGGTCTGTAAAATCATGTTGAGAAATCAAGTTATGCAAGACTTCGAAAGAAACGGGGACCGTCTTTGAAGTCGGTCGTCGGGAAGTTTTTTTTTTGTACATAAGTATTATTTAGCCTCACAGCAGTTTCTCTCAGTGACTGACTTCGCCGTTGCCATTCACGGATACGCTTGAAGTTCGACGTATTTACGATAGGATCGCCGAGGTCAATATCCTCCGACAGGATTTCAATTTTTTACAACGACTGTGAAGGAGATCATTACTGGCTGCGCTAATAAATAACAGCAAGGATGCCTCATGGCCAGGATCACGTTCTAAAGTAGACTTGATGTCTGAATTTTGATCACTGAAACTGATTGGAGTTCAGTGAGACGACAAAACTGTCGTCGTCTCGATGATTTCACGTGAGTCGAGAGAACTGTATTTGACAGGGACTCGTGCACTTGGGGAGCCACACTGAATGCTGGCATTATGACGCAAAAGTACGGAACCTCGTTAGAGCCTTACTTCAAAGGAGTGTTTATGGCCCGCGAGGGCAGTAAACTTGAAAGCGTAGGTGACTATTTTTCACTGAAAACAATGAGCACAGTATTGAAAGATTTGAAAGTACGTCCATAAGTGTTGGGAAAAACTGCAACCGAGAGAAATATTGGTAAATTCAATGGAATTGACATTTCATTGACAAACTTATTAGAGCCACTATCAAAAGACTGGATTTAATGGACGATAACGTAATCCTAAGGCAACGTATACCAAGTTGAAAAGTTTCCTACGACATGCAATGGCGACTCAGTTCTGACTCGTTTTATTACATACGGAAAGAGCTCAGCCACCAGAACCATATAAAGCCTTGGGACTAGAGACAATAACACCATATCAGATCGGCATACCACATCGTGCTGACATGACTTGGAAACCAAGATGAGACGATAACCTCTAATAGACAACAGTAACGAATGAAAAGAAAGAAATTAAGAAGGATTCGTTGATGGTACAGAAAACGAGAGTGACTTTATCTTACAGCCTCCGTATACCCAAGGAGCAATACTATACATCATCTATTATTACGTGATTCAATACCTGACTCAGGTTTTAAATCATCCCTCTATATCCTCAATAGATTCAATGTCAGATATCAATTCTGTAACACACCCTGGTAATTCGTGTTGCGTCGTCATCAAATTCTGTGCTTATGAATAAGAATTTGTAATTTCTTTAAAAAAAAATACTCAAAGTCCACGTATACCTATAGTTACATCCAGCTGTGCGTACACCTTGACCCTCGTTTATAGATAATGAAGAATATCGGATGAGCAAGATACGCCGGACTTCCAAAAGCATGTTCCCCGTCGCTTACCGAATAGCTAAGAGATTATCTGATGTCACTTCGACGACGTCACGTCATCCCGGTCAGTTCCTGCGATGCATTCAGTAATGATTCGCCTATGAACGTCCCGTGGGAGAATGATTGACTCGTAATCAAACAAAAGATTGATAACTCAACGACGAAAATTATATGAGATATTGTCGAGTATCTCATGAAGATGATCGATCCTCATGAAAATTCTTTATAGTCTGTTGTCAAGAGACGTCTCGAGTCAAGAGTGATGCACCGTGGAAGAGGTTTAATTCTCCAGTGAATTAAATGACAATCGACATTGGTCCAGACAGTCAGAAGTAGGAAGTGCATTCCGTCATTAGCTCTACTTAGGTCCCGAGTAATTGACGATAAGAGCCGCCATCACGGAGTCACATTGTTTGCTCTTTAGCTATCGTTTAATAAACGTCATTAAAGACGCACTGCTAGTCGTTCCTCTAGAGCAATTACATAATCACTCATTATTTTCCATTAATTTTGTCCAATGCCCTCATCACGAAGTATACCTCACGTGCTGTTAATCTACGTCAAGTCTATCAGTGTGGAAGTTATACCGTTGAGAATGCGAATTCCAATTACTCATGTGCAGGTACCTTAACGCTACGTTCCATGGGAACGCTTCGGAAAGCTTTCGAGCTCAGTTCATTTAGGGTGTCGTGTCTTGAGGATTTCACGCTAACATGTAGATTCCTCTTAAAGCCCTATATGTAGAATGTGGCACCAGTCTTAGAGGACCAACAGTAGCAAGTACCGGCTTAGACATCAGAGAGTGAGATACTTTCTACACTGCAGTGGTTAGATCCCTGAAATTCTGCTCAGGCTGGTAGATTTACATCTTAAACCTCGACGCTTTCCAAAAGTTCCAAGAGCTTTCAAAACTTCCATGAGATTACCTCAGCAATTATTTATTCCTTTGGCTTTTCGTCCAACAGCTTCATCACCAATTTATTTCGTTATTCAGATTCGTCGAGCGACTACGTGCAGCGTATTAGGATATCAATCTGTAAGAAAAATCATAATACTTTAACGTCACTAATAAAAGTACGTGAATCTCGAGATCGACGATTACCTTTCCTGGGACTTTTGCTTTCTTAAGACTGGAACGTGAGCTTGATAGGAAACATGGCGTTGACAGGCAGGAATGAAAAGAGATATTTCATTCTAAATTATATGGATCTCCTCGGTTGATCATTGAGCAAGATGCACAGACCGGAAGTCAAAAATTAGGTTGAGCTGCGTACCCCACTCTTCACGAGCACGTGCATCTTAAGAGTAGAGGAAGTTACGTAAGATTACTTGAAACATGGACGACGTACATTTCTTTATAGACCTATAGGTATACTGCAAAGATACGAGGTGTGAATTTAGATATTCGAAGTCAATTGTAAAGCTGTTATAATTAAATTGTTGGGCTCCTCACGCAAGCGGCCCATGTAGCCATGTGGCTGCTTGATGAGTATTTTTTAAAAATATCTTTACCTGGTTCATGGTCGTACTTAGTCGGCTAATAGAGTCCTTATTAGGAAATACAAAATGCAAATGGAATCGTCTGCATTTGCATGTTTTCCTGCAAGATAGGCAGCTGTTGGAATATTCTACGTATGTGGCGTGTGTGCCTGTTTGGCGAGGCGTGGATACACGTATTTTTAGAAGAATCCACTAATTGGGTAATTTTTGAGTGGCCATGTTGTATTTAAATAGTCATTTCAATTGTCTGCAATATATATTTTTTGAATTAAATAAATGGAAGGTTAATCGCTTCTCTCATTGTCGCTCGTACGAGCACACATTAACGGTCTAATAAAAAGAAAAGTTTATTAATTCACCACTGACACACTCCACAGAGCGATTTTAAATTCTCATCAAGGAAAGTTTTTGCAGTGGCTTTCGAAAGTCGATACCCTTGCTAGAAATTAATTAAAGGGAAATGTGGTTATGCTTGCGAGAAGTATAGTCGTAGCTGGCTGTGGTCTCGCCGCAACTACCGCATCAATTTGAAAAAATCATGATGATTGACAGAATCGAAAGAGTAAACTGGTAAGCAAAGCCCCGCGGTTATTTTACAATAAGCTGAAATTTTACTTGACACCTGATCTATGATCTATGCCGTCTACGGGATGTCCTGGAAAGGCTCCATCATATTCCGTCAGATGCTAACCCTATTTTAGTAAGCAGTAATTATAAATAATACTAGAAATAGAAATAGAAATAAGAAAGAAATAGAAATAGAAATAATACTATAGAAATAGAAATAATACTAAAAATAGAATTATAGTGCCGTACAATTGTTCGATGTACGATGATCCTCCTAATTTCACATTTCTCAAATAATGCAGAAGGCAAGAGTGTGACTGTCCGTTTGGTATCCACAGAAAATAAAAATGATAACAAACGTGCAATTTTGTATTTGAATAAAGGTTAGTGCAGTTATGCGATTTGATGTTAACGACTTATGAGTCACGCGAGGATGTCAAAATAGCCACTCGCTGTAACATCGTCATTCCTCGGTATCGCGGGGCAGCCACGAATAATTGAATAATTCATAATTTACAGTTAAATCGTTAAAAGTTCCTCCACCCCTGTCAGTATTAATTCAATTAAGATTGCAAAGATGTTATGATAAAGAATTGAAATGGGGAAAGAAAAATGGAATAAAATCAACTCCCGAAACGGTGGATCAGCTCAACGTGGCAAAAGGTTCGATTGTCGAAAACATAGCGGTTGGTACTGAACCGGTCCAACGGGTTTTTATACCGGATGTCACTATCTTCATTTTCGGTAGGTGACTCGAGTCAACGACATCTAATTCTCCTGTCGATTAACACGATTCCCACACATTTATATATATATAAAAGACAAAAGAAAAAGACAATACAAAAAGTGCGAATGGCTATAAATGTAATACAATTTTATAACCTACATGCCCTATAATGTTTTATTACCGTATGTATACTCGGTATATGGAAAGTTTACGTTTACGTTATACTATCCTATATTAGGATCGTGCTTAGATAAAATTCTAAGAGAAGCTTGACCGTCATATCGAAAAGCCCACAAGATGCTTTATCTCCCTAACGCCACGTGCTATAAAATCCTCTACGCGATAGTTTATCGTTGCGATTTTATCGACTAGCTAACGCGGCGACCAGAATCGACCGGAAGGTCGATGCTTGTATGATCCAGGAACGATAGGGCATGTTTCCATGGCGAGAGGCTCAACCGTTTTCAACAACGCATTCGATGAATATTTTCACGAGAGAAACTTTTTCATTAAATCATTTCTTTACTACTTACGTTAGTCCCGCTGTCCTACAGTATCAACTTAAAAAGTTATTTTATTTTTGGACGAGAAAGCCTAATTACCGATTAATGAAAATAACCTGATTGACAGCAATGGCGTTAAAGTCTGGCGCCTTGAATGACAAGTCCTGCCAGTTAGCAGACAAATGGATAAGAGCCGAGAACACTAAGTAGTTGAGCACAAATGAGATTAGACTATCAGTACCAATTGCTATGACAGGAAGCGTTGACAGGCTGACAATCATTCCTCACCGGGGTGTCTACATATAATCGTGTTAACATCTCGGGATAATATTAGGAATTATTTTTGACGATTTACTTGATCGATCAGTTTGGCTTGTCAATTATAAAAATAAGAATTATTAGTAGATACCTTGAGAAGTCGTTTTTACTTGGGCGAGTCTGTTATAAATAATAGTCAACACGTGGGAGCTCATGTGTGAAATAAATCGAACGATGTAAAGTGTAGCACTTAAGCTCACATAGGGCTCAAAACATTCGTAAAGCCTAAATATAAATATTAGCACGGTACGTGTTGAGTTGAAACACACTAGACATCGATAAAGCTACTAAATCAACACGGAAGTACCTAATATATGGCTGCGCTATATGTGTAGCAAATGAAAAAAATGCGTACATGTAACATTAACCGTATGTAGATCACCAGGGCCCTTGAATTTTCTCATCACTTTCTCGTCGAATATTCATTTCATCACACTCGCGAAGTTTCGGCATAACACTTTATCGAATATCGACGGAATTTCAATGAACTTTGTAAGATGCATTTATTTATTTAGTTGATATTGCAATAAGATCGTTTTGTGAAAGGCGATGATAAAATATGAATGATTTACCGTCCATTGAAGGGAAGTCTTTCGAATCTTGGAATGCTCTTCGAGTATGTTCAGTTATGGTCGTTAAGGAAACAAGTATTCGAGAATCTAAAAGCAAAATAAACTATTCACTGTGGGTTAGGCGTTATTCGTGGATTAGGAGGCCATTTTTTCAAGCCCTTACCATACTGCCTAGAGAGATGGATACTAAACACAAACTGGCGTCTGTATAAAAATTTCAGTATAATCCCCAAATAACAGGAAATTATGTAAAGATCTTCGCTAATATTAGAAATTTTTTAGAATCACCACACAAATAATTACCGCGTAACGTAAAACTTGAAATCACGTGTTAAAACATTAAACTACTTTACGATATTACCAACCCTTCTTACTACACAAGCCTCCCAAAAAATACCCTAGAAATAATAGGCATTTTCTTAGCGCTCGCACTGCAGCCAACAGACTAGGGAAAGTCAAATACAAAGGCAGCATTGCCTGTAGGTAGGCCGAGCGTCGTTGATGCCCAGGAGTAGGGATGCAGACGAATCGGCGGCGTTCGGTAAGGATTCCCATTCTATGGCGTCGTTCACGCTTAGTTTACTAACATTTTAGTTCTTGTAAATTCTAATCGGTAGAGACAATGATTTTCTTGAATGACTCCCTGGGTGAGTTTCTCATAATCGATGCAAGGGGAGATGCAAGACAACGGCTACAAGGAATGTCTGGAGGTCTGTACATCTGTACGTCAAGTTGAACTGTTAGGTTAGTACTTACAGCTATGTATGCATATGAATGAAGAAACGGACAGACACAGCCGCCGACAATTACAATGAATCATACAAGATAGATACAGCGAACTCTCGTACGTGAATGCTGGACGTTCCTGCCCACGCTTCTGGCCCGCTAAACTGCGCTTCTTTCTTTCCATAAATCATTCGGGTTACGTTATAGCAGAGAACAAACAGAAGACTCTAGACGGTAAGGACTGGCCTCGTAGTGTCTCGAGTAAACTCGTGGTTGCTAAGACTTATTTACATAAACTGGTCACGTCCCGTGAGGTGCGGATGACGACAACCACTAGGGGGATGGAGTCGTTCTTGCACGAGTCGCTCGTCACTTTTCTTTCTGCCTTGTCAAATCTCCTCAGGTTTAAGAGCAATCGGTCGCTTGATTCTACGTCGGCGACATTTATTCATGTTCGTTGAACCTCATTGATCCTAATCCACGAGTTCGATGCACCAAAGTCTATTGCAAGCGAATCTCATTAGATTTGATAAATAATTTATGAGTTTCGTAAGATTTTTCTTTCTGGTGCGATATATTTTTCGCACGTCAGAGAAAAAATCTTGTGAATATTTTACCTAGTTCTTCCTCGTAGCTCGTACTGTTTTTCCAGTGGTTTTGAGCGATGAAACTATTTGTCGTGAGTTGCCTCTAGGCGCTTGATAAATGATCCATAAATTCGTTTAAGGCGGAGGTCTTCATTGATCTTCACCGCCCTTCGACGCGCTATCGATCCTCATGATTGGAACCGGCCTGAGCCATTCTTTGTGCTTTTTTTTATTCATTTTCATTTGACTCGTTGGTTTTATCAATTCATATACTTACGTTATAGCTCGCATGTCCTGCACGTTCATGATTATGTATTTTCTATTTGCATTTTTTTACGTTAACGATAGACGATCCATTGATTCGTTACGGATATTATCTGATCTTAGATCTCTTTTATCCGGACGTCCCATAGTACTAGTGCAAATCTAAGCCATGTCTATGAATCAATAATTTTACTCGAATTTTTAGCGACTATTCGAAATAAAAAATAGCTTAATGACGGCTTCTCAACTTATACTTTATTTACAATCTCACTCGAGGTATTTTTGCTTATTTCCCTTTTGACGTTTCACTCCACGTGAAGATATAGTGACGGTAAATCATAGTCTCTCTGTCATCACGTACTACTATTATTTATAACGGTAATCACCACCAGATTTTAAGCACCCTAGTAAAGAGTTACCTTCGACATTTGTATTTTCCAATATTTTATAATTATTCTTATTATGTCTATCCATAGATGACAAGCTGCTAATTTGGGATATTATCATAAATTGCAAGTATCCAGTAAACTAGCCTTACCCGGCACATCCAAGGAATGTTATGATATCGATAGAGATAAGCTAGTCTCTGGGTACACCTAGAGAAGATAGTAGAGGTAACATATACTAAGTGGCAGAAGAACCGGATTCCTGGAAGCTGAAGTTCTTCTCGTGAGAAGATAAAGATTTCAGTGTTCCCTGGATCACTTTTCTTTTCTCCTGAAATATTTTCACTGAAAAAGCCAAGCAAGAAGCCAAGTAAGTATAAGGAATAGTCAGGACGAGCAAGAAGGAAGAGAGATGTTTTTAAGGGCTGAGAAGGGATGCTGTTTTTCACGCATAGCTAGACTGATACCACATGATTTGTAACTTCCCATATTCCACGTGTTTCAAAAAAAAAAAATCTAAACTTTTTTCGAAATCTATTCTACCCTCAAGACATCTGTTACTCGATACTCAAAGAGAAATTTAAACTTTATCGGAAAGGCCATAGTCACTTCACGGGAGGAAAGAATGTCTCACCTTTCTCGTTACGTTAATCTCAAAGCGGGATGATGGTAACGAGCCGTTACTCAGGTCCGGTTTTCATTGGATAATGATAATATGAAGAGATCTGACCGAGTGTGAAGCAACCGCGAGGCATAATATCATTCATAAGTTTACTTGGTAAAGTCAGCCAGTATTCTCAAGAGTAGTTAGATGCACGTACAAGCACATATGCATATACGGTGGTAACATATGCACCTAAGACATACGTGGGCGGATGGATCCCAGGGCCTGTTTAGCCCACACGTTGTAATTCCTATCTATCTTCGGGTTACGTCCTGGCTAACTAGCTCTCCTTGCTTTAGGATACTTGGCTGCCATCTATATCCAGAGCTACAGAGAGAAAACAACGATCCTAAGTGAAATTCGCATTGTTTTTCTCGGTGAAGATTTTGCGATCGACAACCAATTTCCCATATGCACACACTGGGTTTCTCTATCGACGCAAATGAATGCTGACGGTGAAATTTACATAACAAGGGACGGGCGTGTGCAATTTACATGAACGCTGTGTCTATACCAATGTGTATCACCCTTTACGAGATTCACTGTACATCCTCTGTTTCTCCATATTAACCCCTTCTCACACGTCTCTGCCTATGGGAGGTTTTCTCATAGGTCCGTGGAAAATCAATGGCTAATTTCAAAGTAACCGAATCCCAGTGTTGGACTTGAGAGAAATTAGGAATTTTCATTGTATCCTTGTTGTTAAATCAAATTAGATGCGATACGCGATAGGGAAGTGATCTGTATTGTATTTTCACGGCAATGACAATAGTGGTATGACTGTTTTTTTTATATTTTTTTAGGACAATAAAATTGGAACAGAAAAAATGAAGGAAGGAAGGAAGCAAACGGCGCGTTTCCGTCGCTCTAAACAGCACCAGGAAAGTCGCTACAATGAAAGCCTCTCTGGACACAGGAAGTAGCAGTCGTTCTGCCATTAACTATTTCGTTTTGCTCCCACATCCGGTTTCATGGGTGTGGATACGAGCAAGGCAGGGTCGTCCTGTATTGTATATGCTATATGTGGATCACAACAAACCTTTATGCATATATGCAGGCATGAGAACGCTTACGATATGCAAGGCTCTACTTTGCGAATAAATTTTCGTGCCTTAGGTGAAACTGCATTTTACTTAAATTGATCATTGATGAAAGTAACTTAATCGAGGGGTTAACGAAGTTTGACTGATTAGGTCTAGAAGCTATTTAGCAGATACTATGGAAACAGGTGGATGGGAGCTTTAATTCTTATACTTCCTAAAGAAGCCAAACTAAAAATGGACTTTTCCACCTGACTCGATCAAGCTTTTATGGATATGCTATCGTACGTATGATTTATAGAGGTACTCTTGAAATTTACGACTAATTTATCAGCTGTGATCGTCGCTACAATGCGCCATGAACTTTGACATAATTTTATTTTGATTGGGGGCACAGATAAATAGTGAGATTTGTCGATCTAACGGGATTAATCAAATATTTATTCGTATTGATATCTATTTCTCATTGCACTTATTATAGTTGTAGAGATATAGGTATCAAGGAATAGATATGTTAATGTCTTCAGATCAAATTGTATGGTATGCTTACTCTTTCAGATAGTGGAACACCCGTTATAAAATGGAGGCCGGGATCGCATGCTAGTGAAATCTACAATCGGTTTATGGTGGCAGCATCGATTCTCGACACGCAACCCAAAGCGGCTCTTGAGTCTCAGGCTAAGCAGGATTAATTATCTGCTGCTTTGAAAGAAATTAAAAGCCGCCTCTTCGCGTATGGGACTTATAGTTAGCATTCTCATGCAAAGGATCTAAGGGAACTACTGGGTCAGAGTCCCATTACCACAGCATGAAAAATGAAATTCTAAAACGTTATCAGGTGAGCTGAATTCATTTTATTTGTTACACGTCTATTCTACGAATTCTTATGAAGTATAGATGCACTAGATATACACCTAACCCTCCGTAGGGTAGAAGCCCTCCGGATACTCACGTAGAAGTAATACGTTTCCCTGACACTAGATATTTTTCTTAACTTTATTCTATGGCTTCGCCATCAGGTCACGCGTGACTTTCTTTACAACCCTTTGAACTCACCGAACTGGTCACCTTAACGGAACAATTTTTTTCTCATAAATATTCCAATATTCGTGGACCACTATCTCCGTGGAATTTATTTTTCAGAAAATAACAAAAGATTTATCAATTTTTTTTTCGAAAACAATGTGCGCTCAGTTCAGCCGACGGACAAGCTTATGCAATTGATTAGAAAGAGATCTTGCATTGCGGTAGCCAAGTGAACTCGTGGACCGGAAACTGCGTTTATTCTTCTCTCATTCACTCACCGCGCATGCCCTCTCTTTCTCATTCTCTTTCTCCGTGTATTTATTTCTTTATTTTTTTTCCACGTTTCCCTTTCATCTCTCTTCGTCCACCATCTCCATCTTCTCTCGCCACAAGCATCCGCGCATTATTTCACCCGTATGGACCTCGTGAAGCGGCCTCATTGAAGTGTCGAGTGATTAATTATCGCGCGCATTGTGATACGACTATGCAGCCCTATGTCTCCTACCTCATGGTCTGTGGATAGGTTATACGATTAAAAGAGGCTTGAGAGCAGGATGCTTGATCTTCTGCCATACTGAGTGGTACACATGGGATGCTCAACGATATTCATAGTCATTCTATAGTCCTTACTTTCTATGACGGTAATATGTATCTTCAGGAGCTGAGATAATAGAATAAAATGATGAATGCATAAAATTATTACCGATTCAAGCCATTAGTTACATTATGGTATTGTACATTGTCGTGGCACAACATCAGACATTTTTTCGAAATACTCATATAAGTAAAAATATCTATGCATAATAGCAGTGGGTGTCTGCACGCGTATAAGGTTGTCCACCGTTGAACTCTGACCTTCCGTTTGTCCCCTATTTTCAGACTTGACCCCTTGACAGCATCACACGAGAAGCCTGGGTTAATTAATTAATTAATTTCCCCGTAGGACCGCCTGTACTTGCTCTTATACTCATCGACACGCACGTTTCTAAAGTTTCACCAAATTTCTTTAATTTCTAGGAAATTATTAAATTACAATTTCCTTTATGGAAATTCTAGAGCCCGTAAGGAAGTACTGTACGACTGGCTGACCCCGTTCGTAACCTATAAAAGCATCTGCCTTTTGAGATTTCATCTCGAAATGAAATATTTACTTAAGAAAAATCGTTTAGTCCTGTTCAGGCTTCCGCTTCTTCTCGTAACGATATCCAGAAGCCAAACTCCCTGTGCAAAGGGTTGACGACTCTTCAGCTACTCCAGGCGAAAGGGGTTTCACCGTAAACCCTTAGGTCTATTCGGGTTTACTCAGGTCGAACCGTGGGCCCCTTTCTCCATTTACTCTTTTCGTCTCCACTTTCGGATCGTTTACTGTAAAGACTCTCCAGGCTACTTACGCTACTATTTTCCTGACTCTGTTTTACGTCCTGCTTAAGATATGGCCGATTTGCTTGGTACGATGCGCACGTCCAACTAATTAGTTGCAGATAAAGATCCTTACAGTATGGGACGCAAGAGTTGCCAATCTTCGGCGAATTACCGAAGGATCAATTGTTGAAAAAAATTACGGGAGCAACGTCAGGCCCACCGTGTTTGGGGGCCCCTCGTAAATTATAAAGCTATATAAGACAGGGAATCAGCTTGTGACGTATTACCTCCTCTGCAATTTAATCTCAGTTATTCGATGCACCTGCTTCCGGGACGCAGGGTGACTTCAAGAATGAAACTAAGTGTTTTGCAAGGGAGGAATATATATTTTCTTTTAACACTACCCGGAAATGTCCAAAATTATGATTTGTTTTTAAGTTAAAAAAGAAAAGTATTTTTTTCCAGACCCGTAGTCTGATTCAATCTGAAGAAAGATTTCAAGAATTTTAGTTCCTATAGTAACGGTACTTTAATGATCGCATAAAGATATTCAACGTAATTTAATTTCTATTTTATTATCACACAAATATTTTATGAGTGAATATGTATTAGGTATCCTATAGTATAGCCTGTAACCATAGAAACTCGATATCACAGAGTGCCTCGGGAAAATCTCGTAAATTTCTTATTATTCTCATCCCGTGAAGACTGATCGTCCCTTTTGTCGGTGTCCCATTAATTCTCATTGTCTCGTCCCATCCCGGCGTAAGTCTTCAGTGACCTTTGATTAATCGCTTAACGTCCACTCGTTGATTTATAGGAATTTAACGTAACCGTCCATTTCTAGCGTAGCGATTGTTAAACTTATCGATTCAAATTACCCGTATGGTTAATCAAAATCCATATTTCTCCATGATTATCGGGCGGTATAAAAAAATAGGTCTTTGAAAATTCGTGCGGCAGCTGCACGTCACCTTTTTTCGGGGCGCCGATGTCAGCTGCTCATCCAAGGTATAAATCAGCTTACGAATTGAGCCGTTTCGTGATTCGTATCGTTAAGTCATCGATTAACTCCCGATCGTTATCCGGTATGTTAGCCCAGGGTTAACGATGCAAGTCAGGGAAGTTCGGTTACCAAACCAGTCACGGAAGTGTAGGATACCGTGAATACGATTTACAGTAATTTCTACTAGTTGACGAAAATAGTCTAATCACACGTGTACCCACATCTGCCTATATAGAACAGGGAGATAATATATTAATTAGCGTTACTTTTTTTGTCCTATTTTTTTGCAAATATAGATCAGAGGAAGACAACTTCTTGCGATTATTATATATCTTCACGCAAGTGCATATGTGGAAGGGATAGCCATATATATATATATATCTAAAATATTTTTCTATGTGTATTATCGCCCTTCTTAATGACTGTACTATCATTTAACAACACATGACTCATTGGATTAGCCTTCGCAGCTAAGTAGAATTTGATCTGCTGTCCAATACTACATAGCAAACGGCAATGAACATAAAATATTTTTTTTTTATATGTTCCAGGATGCTTTATAATACAACAGGCATGTGTAATTCACGACACGTAAACCTTAGGGAGGAAGTAATATCGTAGGAAAACGACTGGTCGTTTGAGAAGATGCGTCCATGTCAAATATTCCTCCTCCCCCCCCCCCCCCGGG